GCAGTAGACCTGGCAAGCCGATAACAGTTTGCAAGCCCCCCAGCCCCATAAGCCCCCCCCCCCCCCGAGCCCAGGACTCGGCGCTCAACTTGAGCGCCTGCACTTGGCGTGCGAGTGGGGCGCAGGCGCGAGCCCGGAGCTTCGAAACTGCCCGTGTTTTACTCGGACTGGGAGCCCTTGGCTTAAGATTGCCCGCCGCTACAGTCGAAGCTGCCCGTCGGAACTTTGCCCTGTGATTTGCCCTGTGCTTTGCGCTGTATGCTGTGTTCGCGAAGCTCTCTGTTCCTGGCTGCTTAAAGCTTCGGGGTTGGGGGACTTGGAACTGGTGGGGGCTGCGGTGCGGGAAGTACTTATCCAAGAACACCAGTGATGACAGTAGAGATGAACAAGGATCAAGTACAAGCATCGGCCGCTGCAAGGACCCAGTTTTTGAGGGGTTTTTCGCGGTGGCAGTGTAGCCGTTGTTTCACGGCTCCTGCGAGCGCGCGTTGGACCGGGCGAGCGGGCGTCGTACGCCTGGCCCGGGGCCATCATCCCCGGAAAAACCAAGTCGGTGCCGGAGGGCTCGCCCTGCAGGTGCTTCTGGGGGCGCCGCTGACCTTCCAAGGCTTCCGCAGTTTTTCTAGAGGTTTTCAGCCCTCCGGGCATTAAGGATCTGCGGGTGTCGGGCCTTTGAGACACTTGGGGTTTAAGAAGCGCGTGAATTATTTGAGGGCATCTGCAGGAGGGTGGCTGTTGCAGGACTCCTTGAGGTTGACACCCGTTGGAGTAGGACTGTGAGGGAGCTGGGCCAGATACGTGTTCCAAGACACGGCTCTGCCGGCGTTGTGATTGTATGTGAACCTTTCCCAATGCAAGCGAGGTCGAGGAGGCCTGCGCATGGAAGCTCATGACCCGCAAGAGACAAGGGCATCTACTTGTGTTGTTGCCGCTGTAGACTTGCCCGTGCAGGGGACTTGGTGCTCCAGGGCGAGCTGCAGATCACAGGTGCTAAGGAGCTGGATAGACCCTGCCCCTTGCCTGTGCGTGAGAGATCTGCTTTGCAAGTCCTGCAGCCCACCACGGAGGGTTCAAGCCTCAAAAGCATCGAGGCATTACAGTGCTTGGGAACCTTACCCTCGTCGACGCGCGAGTCAGCTTCCTCAATTGCAAGGAGCAGGCGGCGCTGGGGCTGTGCTCCTACGCGCGCGAGCTTCGATTTTGGATTTGGCCGCGTTCACGGTGCAAGGTGTAAGGGCTTGTCGAGCTGGGCGTACGGGCTCATTGGAGCAGACTGGCACAAGACCATCCACATGCTGGCTGCGAGTAGGGACTCAACACATCATGAGCCACCTGATGACAGTCTTGCACCCGTTCCGTTAGTGGCAGAGACAGATAAAGGACAGGAGCAGTGAAGACCGAAGCAAAGTGCGATGCATGTGAGAGACAATCACTGGCTAAGAGAGCTGTGGCCCAAGTGCGGAGCAGTGAGCACCTTAAGAAGCAACTACTACGGCCAAGCACATTTGACAAAGGATACTTCCTGCCACAGGTCCAGGTCTCGAACCTCGGAGGTGCCCTCTTCGTGCAGGAGGACCTGAGTGCCTTCAACAGCAGCATCGCCTTCAAGAACTGCAGGGGAACATCAGGCCTTCGGCCCCCCGTCGGGTGGGAAACCTTGCGCATCCTTCTCCGGCTGCTATGCTTTCCTTCAGCTCTCTACAAAGGCTAAAGGCTGAAGCTCCTGAAATGCCTGCATCCTTGAATAGCTGGGCGGTGGGTGACCCTCAAGGGCATCGGGATGCATTGGGCGTTTGGGGACGTAAGGATCACAGAGAGGGGCTTGCTCTTGAGTTCTGAGGGCGCAAGGGAGGCTGCGCAGAGCAGAAGTTTCGCGAGGCATCCAGTGGCACGGAGTTTTGTGGAGTTTTCCTTCTTTGAAGCTGGCGAAGGTGGCGGCCTGCATGCCAAAAGCTTCCTCCTAGAGCAGAGCAAGGCGGACTTCGACAACTGCACGGCGTCTAGTGCCTTGGCAATGCACCCGGGGCTGTGCATCCGAGCTTTCCGAGGGCAGGCAAAGCAGATCGGCTTCTTTTGCCACGCCACCCAGCTTTGCAAGCTTGGGTCTGTTTTTGTGGGTGCTTTCACGGGTTCTGAAAGCAGCTGACGGGCCCATAGCTATCAGGAAATTATGGTGAAACAATCCAGTTAGACAATTCAATCGCGTCTACTTTCAGTCAGAAACTGGCCGTTCGGGTCCGAAACGGACTGCGCCCCTGCCCAGGCATGAACGGCGGCGGCGGCGGCGCCTACATCAAGGAGACCTTCCGCATGAACGCCAACAGCTCCGCCAGCTTCCGCGGCTGCTCTGCAGAACTTGGTGTCTTGGTGGCACGGAGCTCCAGGGCAAAGGTCTGGTGAAGGCCTTCCCGATTCCCCTGCCAAGTCAGGACAAAAGCTTTGCATTTGTAGAGCAGACGCAGACCTCCACGACCGTTTGCAACGTCATGGGAGTGCTGGGCGCTGCTAATTGCAGTTGCAAAACGGAAGCCTTTGACACACACCCTCTAGAGCATTGGGGCTTTGGGGTTTGTACAGAGGGTCTTTCTCTGGAGTTCTGAGGCCGCAAGGGAGGTTGCACAAGGCAGAAGTTTCTGGCGTTTTTGGAAGCTGACGAAGGCCGCGGCGGCGGCCTGCATGCCGAAAGCTTCCTCCTAGAGCAGAGCAAGGCGGACTTCGACAACTGCACGGCGTCTGGTGCCTTGGCAATGCACCCGGGGCTGTGCATCCGAGCTTTCCGAGGGCAGGCAAAGCAGATCGGCTTCTTTTGCCACGCCACCCAGCTTTGCAAGCTTGGGTCTGTTTTTGTGGGTGCTTTCACGGGTTCTGAAAGCAGCTGACGGGCCCATAGCTATCAGGAAATTATGGTGAAACAATCCAGTTAGACAATTCAATCGCGTCTACTTTCAGTCAGAAACTGGCCGTTCGGGTCCGAAACGGGCTGCGCCCCTGCCCAGAAGTCATGGGCGGCGGCGGCGGCGCCTACATCAAGGAGACCTTCCGCATGAACTTCAACAGCTCCGCCAGCTTCCGGGGCTGCTCTGCAGAACTTGGTGTCTTGGTGGCACGGAGTCCAGGGCAAAGGTCTGGTGAAGGTTTTTCGATTCGCTTTAAAGCAGGAAGCTTTGCATGTGTAGAGCGGAGACAACATGTGCTGGTCCATGGGGGTGTTGGGCGCCTGCTGCGTGCAGTTGCAAAGCGGCAGCTTGTGACCTGTTGAGGGGTACGTCATGCATGCCATCGTGGTTGTGTCAGGGCAATGGGAGACCCCCTCCAGGACATTGGGGGTGCATTGGGTGTTTGGGGATGCAAGGTTCGTACAGAGGGGGCTTGTTTCGCGAGGCATCCAGTGGCGCGGAGTTTTTGTGGAGTTTTCCTTCTTTAAAGCTGGCGAAGGTGGCGGCCTGCATGCCAAAAGCTTCCTCTTAGAGCAGAGCAAGGCGGACTTCGACAACTCCATGGCGTCTGGTGCCTTGGCGGTGCACCCGGGGCTGGGCATCCGAGCTAGCATACATCGAAGATCGGCTTCTTTTGCCACGCCAGCTTCTGTTCCCAGCAGCTAGCTTGGCAAGCTTGGGTTCTTTTGTTGTGGGTGCCTTCACTGGTTCTGCAAGCAGCTGACGAGTGTCAAGAGACACGAGGACATAGCCTTCCCGGCCTTGCAGTCTCGCAGAGGCGGGTCGCCTTGGTGTTCGGGTCCGCAACTGCCTGCGCTCCTGCCCAGGCCTCTACACCGGCGGCGGCGGCGGCGCCCACATCGTGGAGACCTTCCGCATGAACATAAACAGCTCCGCCAGCTTCCGGGGCTGCTCTGCAGAAAATGGTGTCTTGGTGGCACGGAGCTCCAGGGGAAAGGTCTGGTGA